GGGAGAAGAAGCTCTCCCCTTTTCAGGCAATGTTCTTGGAGGGTTAATTTGCCTAGAATGGTGAAAGAAAAAGCTGCCTTTGTGTGAACTTCTGTAGATTGTGAACTTCTGAGCCCTTCCCCTTACACTCTGGGTATAAAGTTCTGAAATTCCCTGAACTTGGGGTTCAGGGCTATTGATTACAGCGACAGCTTTGCCCTCTGAACTTGGCTGCAGCCAAATAAATCTGTTTTTTGCTGTCTTTGGTGTCTTGCCTCATCTGTCCCCTAAAAATTGAAGTGGCTATCAAAAGCCTTCCAACAAAGAAAAGCTCAAGATTGATGGATTCCCAGCTGAATTCTACCAGACCTTTAAAGAAGAACTAATACCAATCCTCAAATTATTCCATGAAATAGAAAAGAATGGAACTCTGCCAAACCCATTCTATGAACCCAATATCAACGTGATGCCAAAACCAGACAAAGACACATCAAGGAAAGAAAATTTTAAACCAATAGCCTGGATGAACATAGATGCAAAAATTCTTAATAAAATATTTTCAATCCACATACAAGATGACATTAAAAACAGTGCATCATGATCAAGTGGGTTTCATTTCAGGGATGCAAGGTTGCTTCAATATATAGAAATTAATAAATGAAAGAGTCAAGGTCAAGAATCACATAATGATCTCAGTAGATGCAGAAAAAGCATTTGACAAAGTACAGCACTTATTAATGTTTAAAACCCTAGAAAAACTAGGGATAGAGGGATTTACCTCAACATTTGTAAAGTCTATATAAGACAAACCCCAAGGCCAACATAGTACTGAATGGAGAAAAACTTAAAAGCTTTTCCTTTAAAAACAGGAACAAGACAGGGATGCCCATTTCCACCAATCCCATTCAACATAGTCCTTGAAACTCTAGCCAGAGCAATCAGGCAAGAGAAGGAAATTAAAGGGGTACAAATAGGAAAAGAACTCAAATCATCTCTATTTGCTGATGATATGATCATATATTTAGAAGACACCTCTCCCTCCAAAAAAACAAAAAAACAAAAAAACCTTCACCTGAAGACTTCTGAGACTGATAAATGTATTCAGGAAAGTAGTAGGGTACAAAATCATTACTCATAAATCGATCGTGTTCCTATACTTAAATGATGAATCTGCTGAAGAAGAAATTAAGACAACTATCCCATTCACAGTAGCCTCAAAAAAAGGGGAATCAATAAAATAAAAAAAAGGTGAAGAGCCTCTACAATGGAAACTATAGAACACTAAAGAAAGAAATTGAAGAAGGTCTTTTTTTTTTAAAGAGAGAGTGAGAATTTTTTTAATATTTATTTCTCGGCGGACACAACATCTTTGTTGGTATGTGGTGCTGAGGATCGAACCCGGGCTGCACGCATGCCAGGCGAGCGCGCTACCGCTTGAGCCACATCCCCAGCCCCCTGAAGAAGCTCTTAATAGATGGAAAGACCTCCTATGTTCTTGGAGAGGCAGAATTAATATTGTCAAAATGGTCAGACTACCAAAAGCACTATGCAGATTTAATGCAATCCTGGTCTGGATTCCAGTGATATTCTTCATAAAACTGGAAAAAACAGTTCTGAAATTCATTTGGAAAAATAAGAAACCCAGAATAGGCAAAGTAGTCTTTGGAAAAGCAAAGCAGGAGTCATCTCAATACTGGACCTTAAACGATACTACGAACTATAGTAACAAAAACAACATGGTACTGACAAGAAAATACACATGAAGAACAATGAAATAGAGCAGAAAACATGGAAATAAATCCACATAAAAATGTATGTTGGAGAAAAGGTAGCCTTTTATACAAATGGTGCTAGGAAAACTGGAAATCCATATGTAGAAGAATGAAATTTGACTCCTCTCACCCTTCAAAGACCTAGGAATTTTACCAAAAACCCTGTAACTGCTAGAAGAAAATGTAGGTCCAACTCTCCAACATGTTGGTACAGGAACTAGCTTCCTTAAGAAGACTACCAAAGGGCAAGAAGTAAAGTAAAAAAATAAGTGGGGGGCTGGGGATGTGGCTCAAGCTGTAGCGTGCTCACCTGGCATGTGTGAGGCCTGGGTTCGATCCTCAGCACCACATACAAAGATGTTGTGTTCACCGGAAACTAAAAAATAAATAAATATTTATTTATAAATATTTCTCTCTCTCTCTCTCTCTCTCTCTCTCTCACTCTCTCACTCACACACACACACACACACACACACACACAAACTCACTCTCTCTCTCTCTAAAAAAAAAGTGGGATGGCATCAAATTAAAACACTTCTGCACAGCAAAGGAAACGAGTGTGAAGGGAGACCCTACAGAATGGGAGAAGATCTTTGCCACCTGCTCCTCAAATAGGGCATTAATATCCAGAGTGTACAAATAACACCAAAAAAACCAAGTAACCCAATCAATAAATGGAAAAGAACCAGGTGCAATGGCACGTGCCTGTAATCCCAGTGGTTTGGGAGGCTGAGACAGGAGGATGGTGAGTTCAAAGCTAGCCTCAGCAATGGCAAGGCACTAAGCAACTCAGTGAGATCCTGTCTCTAAATAAAATACAAAATAGAGCTGGGGTTGTGGCTCAATGGTTGAGTGCCCCTGAGTTCAATGCCCGGTAACTCCCCGCAATGGAAAATAAATAATTCTCAAAAGAAGAAATATAAGTGGTCAATAAATACATGAAAAAATGTTTAACATCTCTAGCAGTTAGGAAAATGCAAATCAAAACTACATTGAGATTTCATCTCACTCCAGCCAGAATGGCAATTACAAATAATGTTGCTGAGAATGTGGGGAAAAAGGTACACTCATACATTGTTTGTGGGGACTGCAAATTCGTACAGCCACCCTGGATAGAAGAATGGAGAATCCTCAAAAAACTAGGAATGGAACCACCATATGACCCAGCTATCCCACTCCTCCGTATATATCCAAAAGATTAGAAATTAGTATATTACAGTGATGCAGCCACATCAATGTTTATTGTCACACAATTCATAATAGCCAAGCTATGGAACCAACCTAGGTGTCCTTCAACAGATGAATGGATAAAGAAAATGTGGTGCATATGCACAGTGGAATATTACCCATAATGAAGAATGACATCATGACCTTAAGTGTAATAAGCCAGTTCCCAAAACTTGAAAGGTTGAATGTTTTCTATAATATGTTGAAGTTAATCCAGAATGAAAAAAGGGGATAGGAATTAAGAAAAAAAGGGGAGAGAGAATTTCATCAAAATAGAGGAAAGATAAGTAGAGTAGGCAAAGGGAGAAAGAAGGGAAAAGAAAAGTGAAGTACAGTGGAATGAATCTGAACTTTTTTATGTGCATGGATGTGCACAGTGGGTCCCAGCATAGGGTGTATTCACAGGACACTAATTAAAAAAAAAAAATGTAAATGGATTGAAGAGGGATCCATTGAGTGGAGGGAGAGGAGCTAGATGTGGGTGAGAAGTGCTGGGGACTGAGTTGGAGTGGATTGTATTCCATGCTTTTGTGATAATTTCAGGGTGTATCCTGGTGTTGTATATTACTAAAAAATAAATAAATAAAGCCAAGATCAATAGTTGTTGCCTTTGTTTCTGTGAAAGAGAATATCTTGAGTTAAATATCTTGAGTTCTCTTGACCTTTTCTTTGTGGTTCCAAGGTAGCTGCTAAAGCTCCAGCAAGCATACTCACATTCTGGGCAGGAAGAAGGAATAATGCACAAAATACTTCCATTTGCATCTCATTGGCTAAGAAACACGTGGCTACCCTTGGCTATAAGGGAGTTAGGGATATGATGTCATTTAACTAGATACATAACACATCAATACATTCTGAGTTCTGTTAATAAGAAATAATGGGTAAATAAATATTGAAAAGCAACTAACATCTGTGCTACAGATGAAATTGTTATTTCAATATAAAATACTTTTTAATGGTTCAAAAAGTTCTAAAGTAATACTTCAGAAAATAACCATATTGTTTGTTTGAATGACAGCTGTGTGATTGTGGTGTGTATGTGTGTGTGTGTGTGTGTGTGTGTGTGTGTGTGTGTGTATATATATATATATTAATATACATATAGTTTTTTAATTTGTTGGTACTTGGAACTACACTTGGCTGTCATTTTTATTTTTAAATTTGAGACAGGGTTTTTCTGAGTTCCTGAGTCTGGTCTTGAACTTGCAATTCTCCTTCCTCAGCCTTTCGAATTTCTGGGACTATAGGCATGCGCTACTATGCCCAGCTTAATCTCGTTATGTCTGAATTATAATTGAGAAAAAGTGAGATGCATGTCTCTTTTTTAGAATTGTAGGATAGAAGAATGAAATAAATCATCTTTCTTAAGGCCCAGTATTATCCTTAATATATTTCTGGATATGTTGTAAAACAAGTTGAAAGTCTTCTGAGGACATACTATTTCTGAATTTATGAAAAGTAAGAAGCTATTAAAGAAACCAAATAACTGACAGTTAAATGTAGACCTCAGATCATCTCTATGCTTTGAGAGTTATAAAATGTGGACTTCCTGGTAGTTCTATGTTTTGAGAGTTATACGATATTTTCAGTCTTTAAGAAGAGTTCCTTGAGAATGTTTACTCCATGCATGACTTGTAAACATTCCAGTCATCTCTGTTCTTGAATCCTTATTCATAGATATTTTTTCCTTTCATATGTTAATGAAAAGCACACTGTGAGTGGATGAAAATCTTGCTGACTTTGCCTGTTGTAAGGGAATTTTTTTCCCCAGGTTTGTGATAGAATTCTTAGTTCTTAATATGCACATGAATGCCAAGAGAGTTATAGATGAAGATGTATATATGTGTGGATGTTGGTGTGGATGTGTATTGGATTTTTAAATTTTTAACAAGATTATTTCTTGTTCACACACAGAAGTGATCATTTTGGCTCTTTCTAGAATTTTCTATCACTGGCAGGTCAAATGAAAGAAAAGCAGTCTTTCTGATACTTCTTTCCTTTTTTGATAAATTATGGTGGCAGGCAGTGTCAACCAACCGTGTCACCTCACAGTGAAACAGCCCCAATTCCAGTTCCTACTCAAATAAGGAATTATCAACGCATTGAACAGAATCTTACATCTACTGCCAGCTCTGGCACAAATCCGCATGGTTCTCCAAGGTAAGGCAGTGTCTGGATTCCTTTTTAAAAATTTGTTTCTTTTATAATATATAAATATATTTATATATTTGAAATTAACAGATTTAATTTCAAATATATAAATATATTTGCCCACAGGTATAATTACTTTTGAGAATTTGAGAAAGAGCTTGTTAAAAAATGAAATCCCAAATTGCAGTAAATTATTTATATATTGTTTATTTCCCATTTTGAGACCCCATTAAGATGATAGTAAAAGAATAACAAAGTCTGAGTCCACAAAAATAAGCAAAATAAGAAAAAAAATATTTACTGGTGACAGATTCCAGTAAATTTTTTGGAAATGAAGAGGACTGAGGAAGGGTTCCTGCTTTAGCAGGCAGATGTAAATGTGCATGTAATCGAGGATTCTGACAGAATGAGAATCACTATGCCTCTAGCCCCAGAGAGACCTAAATCTCAGAGAGAACTCAAGTAAAGTGGAGGAATTAGCACTTCAACTAATGGTAACTTATTGTACATATACATGTACCTAGTCAGTTACATATTCTATTCTAGATATATAGCCTATGAATATAAAATTGAATATATATAAAAAGTTATTAACTGTTATGATAGCAAAGAATGAAAAAGAAGCCAACTGCCCACCAACTGCTCATTGATTTGSTATAATTCATCTAAGACAATGGAATCCTATGCATCTTCTGTTCCAAAAGGGTAAGGAAGCTCTGTATTGAGGCAGAAAAATTACTATAGTATAGTATAAAATGAAAAAAAAAAAAGAATGGTTATAGTATATCAAGCAGTGACCCATGAGGTTAAAAGTGTTTTCATAATAGTGCTAGGACATTGTTTCCTTTTTTCACTGCATGATACATGCACTGATGATGCAGAAAACAAAGATGAGTAATACTGCTGGTGCCTTAACTTGAACCCAGGGTGATGACACTCAACTGTACTGTCAGTCTTTAGGCTCTTTACCACCACATACTTGTGTTATAAAGGAATGTCCTTGACAAATTATTAAAGGACTAAATTATTTCTCATTGAAAATCACAATCATTGAATAGAATGTGCATATAAAGCACTTTTGCTATTACAATAGTTTTAGGAAAAGCACTGGTATGATTGTAAGCTAAATAATCACTTTTTTTATAGAGCACTCTTTTTACTTCAATGAATGACTGACAAACTATGATATGTTTCTAGCAGTTGTTTTGTAAATATAATCTAAGTTTTATTACTTTGGAGAGAACAAGTGACAATAAATGTCTTTTAAAAATTTTTGGTGATATTAGGGATTAAACTTGGGGATACCCTACCACAGAGCTATGCCAGTCCTTTCTGTTTTTCACTTTGAGACGGGGTCTTAAATTACCCAGGCTGGCCTCAACTTGTGAGTCTCCTGCCTCAGTTTCCTGAGTTGCTGGGATTACAGGCATAAGTGACAATAAATGTCAATAATAAAATTGGAGCATTCAAGTAAAAAGTAGAATTTTGGAAAACTTATATTAACCCCTGTGATCTTGAAGATCAAAAGATCTTGTGATCAGAAGAGTCTTGCCAGACATTTCTGTTAACATTGATGGTGACATTTTGGTATGAATGTGACTTTTTGACATTATATGTTAAATATTTGGAATATCTGCATAATTAAATGAACCATTATCATATCCAAATTATGAATGTTAAAAAAATCATTGAACAGATAAAAGGTTCATTCAGAGTAAAAGATACTTTGCAGAACAATGAAGTTTAATGTAACAGTGCAAGAGTTCACGGAGGCTGGGTATGGTGGCCTGCATTCCTGTGTTGTAGCACATTTGAAATAAATCACTGGCAGTCCTGAATCAGGACATGGGACTTTATTCACTGGTATGCCAAGTGACCAAGTTGACTTTGCCTGCCTTGACCCTTTGCAGAAGGCAGGGTATCTCTTTTACAGTCAAAACCCTCAAGCTACCAGTAAGTCAAAACATAGCAACCTAGGAAGTGGATCTGAATGATTCAGTTCAGGGTACAGTACACTGCCCAAGAAAAATGGGAATTAAAAAAGAACATCTTACAAATGCATTTCTTTCTTTTTAAAGATATATTTTAGTTATACATGGACACAATATCTTTATTTTGTCTATTTTTATGTAGTGTTGAGATTTGGACCCAAGTGCCTCACATGTGTGAGGCAAGTGTTTTGTCACTGAGCCACAACCCCAGCCCGAAATGCATTTCTTAATAATACATTGTATAAGAATAACAGAAACATTTTTTAACCACCCTGCATTGTCAGACAGGGTATGCTCAGCAGGAGGTGGCAGAGGTGGGATTTTCTCATGGGAGAAGCATTTCTTACATGAAATGGAGTCTCAGGGTAAAATGGAGTTTGTCTGGTCAAGGCATAGCATTCTCCCCTTTTCTGGAAAAAAACCAAACCCTTGATTTACCTTCTGATTATGTAAGGGATTATAATGGCTATATATATGACTAACAAAATATGTTGTTTTAGCAGTTTGGGCCTTGTAACATAATCTGAACAAGAGGAAAAACATGATTAATATTTTTTTTTTTTTARTTTTATCTTTAGAGGGTGGTTGGGGTCTCAGAGGGCTGTCCTTCTTCTGCAGGAGACATTTTTGTTGTCTTGACTCAGGTGTGAATCCTATGAGTCCTTTGGGGTAGTGACTGCATAAGGTCCCCTCCAGCTGGATGTTAGTTCTTCTTTTTTGGAACCGTTTGATGTAGACTAGTCTTCTGGCTAGAATGGTTGTTGGAGATATGTAGTCTCTTGGGGCTGGTTTTCTCAAAGGAATTTATGAGCTTTAAGTTGAACCTATTGTAGAGACTTAGCAACAGGAGCAGGTTATCTTGGTAAGTGTGGAGGAAAGGCTCTGGAGGCATTAACATTTTAATCCCCCAGAGGCAATTTCTAAATTTTTGGACTCAAACTGGCCTCTATTTTTGTGATCTGATTTGATTACATATCTACACTGATTGACTCTTTAATTTTTGTTTTCTTTTGTCTACTTTTCCTAATTTTAGGGAATTTTTCATGCTGTAGAGAAAAGGGCGATGACTGCTCTTGCTGCTTTGAGCTGAGAGGGGGTGATGTCGGATGGGGCAATCAGTTTGGAGTCCCCTTTTAGAAATCAGTTCAGTCAAGGGGTCCACGCTAAAAGTCTGGTTCAGGAAGAACAGGTTGTAAAGTCATCTAGGGGTGGGTGCTTCTATGAGAGAGAAACAAAAAGACATTAGTACTGAAATGAGATTAATACAAAATAAATGTTGGGGCATCTGGAACATGTCAATGAATATCACAAAGATGATAGAAATCAATAATCTCTTCCTTAGGAGGTGGAAGAGCTGAGAAATTGTTCCCATAACAAGGCCTAACAAAGCCTAACATGGCCTTTATTTGGGAAGTAAATCTTTAACATTGCCAGAGTTATCAGGAAAGTAAACACAACATTTGGTTAAATTGCTTAATGTCATCTGATTTTTGTAAAATATTTTATTGTCACAACCTGTGTGGTTAATAGGGGTCCCTTATCTTTGTTACTTAGGGCTAGATAATTATACTAGCAAACATTGATTAAGCCTATCTGTGTAGGAGGTTGGGAAGATCTGTAGGCCTTAAACTGACTAAAAACTCCTGACTCTGGCAGTTTCTCTTGATAGTTATCAGGCACTCCTGCCTAAGAATCTCTTTTGTCACCTCCAGTCTCATTTATTCTTGGGGGTGCTAACCCAAGTGTACATTCTAAGGTATATTAAGATAACTGTAGTTTTATAAGTGTCTAGGAATGGCTGTGTTTTGGTTTTAACTGTTTTCCGTTAGGTGCTTAAGATGAAGCTGGTCAAATTAACCTTGTTCCTTGGGGGTTACTTGTTCCTTTGTGGGTTACTCTCTGGGGAACTTATGAGCAGCCTTTAGTTCTGCTAGTGCCATCCACCAGGATAACTCAAGGTTTTGCTGACCATGTGGCTTCCCTTGGAATCGTCAGGGATGTCCGCATTTATCCTCCTCTTTTGCAGTATGGGCACTGATTAGCTTTCTCTTTTAGGGACCCAGTAATCTCCCTGATTGGGAGGTTCATGTGACCCACAGTTGATGAGAAGTTCCTTTGTCCCCTGGATTCAAGCTGACTCAGAGGGCAAGAGCCAAATATTGATTTTTTATTTTAACCTTAATCTTTAAGCCTTGGTCTTAAACATCCAGCAAGSCAGTCTTACAAGTCTTAACGTATGAATACTGGGCTTTAAATTTAGTGTTTAAAACTTTACAGTTATTTTTAACCCCTTTTATTTAATTGGGGTCTGTATTAATACTGGAAGTTAGCATTATATGCTGTCTATAGATAATGGCCTAATATCTCATAGTAACTTAGGTTATTATAAGGCATTAGCAGATAGCAGTTAAAGTTTGCAAGGAAAATTTAAAATGAAATTAACAAGAGTAAAAACATATTTAGTTTGTATACAATCTTGAACCTTGGCTGATTATATGTTATATCCCCTGTTTGAGATCACAATAATTTTTACAATAAATATCAATCTTTTGAATATAACTTTAAATGAGCTGAAGCCTGGCCTATTTTAAAGCCATTCTAACATGTAGTAAGGTGGGAGGCAGAGCCTTTACTCAGGTAAGGTGGGGTTCTTCACAAATCTTAGGTGAAGCGTTCTAGTTCTGAAGTTGATCTTTGCCTCTTTCTTAGATCCATTTTATAAAGTTTACATAATATTGTTTCCTGAGTCTATATAATGTTAATTAACACAATATAACATTATATTTAAAACACAAATCAAAGGCTGAGAGAGCTTTTAAGTTTTTCTTTTGTGTGGAAAAGTGGCAAAATATTTTTGTTTTACATTTTTAACCTTTAAACAGATCAATCTCTCTTGTCTTTTGAAAATACCTTTAAATTTTTTATATCCCATTGATTACAGAACATTGATTACAGAATATTAAATGATATAAATAAATCTCTAATTAAAATTACCATTACAGACTACTTCAGTTTGGAGAACACCAGCTTGATAAAGTGCTCTTTTTAAAAAAATATTTATTTTTTAATTGTAGGTGTACACAAAATCATTATTTCATTTTTATGTGGTGCTGAGGTTTAAACCTAGTGCCTCACATGTGCAAGGTAAGCACTCAACCACTGATCTTTGCCTCTTTCTTAGATACCATTTTATAAATGTTCCCAAATGCTCTTTTAAACCTTTTACTTTAAAGATGTGTATACCTGGAAGATATGAATACATTTAATATGTAAAGAAGATTAATAGCATCATAATTACATTGATGTTTTTTATTAACCTAGTTTAGCTTTTAAAGAAAATTTAGACTTTGTAATGTATAATACTCTAAAATAATAGTTGTTGTTTAATCAGAGTTGTACAAACCCTAATTTTTTCAGACTAGTTGCTCTAGAGAATGAAATATAACAGACACAATGTTAGGAGTAAATTACTGTTTTAAGAAATTCTTGTTATTTTAACAGATAGATTAAACTTTGGTTTATATTAGTACATTAATATTTGATCTTGGGGAAAAACCTGGAGCTTTAACTGATTTGTGTTACTTATAATCAACTTAGTTACACACAAACCTTTTTTTTTTTTTTGAAATTTGCCTTTTATTTATACAGACCTTTTTATCACATAATTAGACTCTCTTGTTTATGTAGATGTATTACAACTTTATTTTTACCACATAAAGACTTTCTTACCTAGAAGTGTTTTTTTCCCATATTTTATTAAATATATTTTAATACCTAGAACATTTTTTTATTATCAGTTTGTGAAAATACCAATAATATTTTAAGTACATTACCCTATGGAATTTAAGGAGTTAAGAGTAATAGTATTTTAACTTTCCCTAAATTAATCAGATGTTTTTAACAAATACATTTATGATTAATCTCAGGTGTGTCAAATCTAATTTACTTATTTTTAAAAACCAAGATATCAGACAAGTGTATTGAACAGCATCAGCTATCTCTTCCTTATTGAAGAAAAATCCTAGAAACAATGGATATTAGACATTTTGTAGACATCAACAACTTAACAGTTGTTTGACCATCTAGAAAAAAAAATACAAACTGTGAGTTAGTAACTTTAAAGATATCTTGACTTTTATTTGTTTATACCTGTTGGGACTTTTAACTCTTAGTTACCTTTTTCCCAATGATGGCACAAAGCAATTTTAAACCCTTTTATATTTTCTAAACACATGTAGACATGACAATTAACTGGTGTATACACACACACACACACACACACACAAAAAAAAAAAAACAAAGGCCTTGTAGTTTATTTTTTTGAATCAATTAATTAATTTTTAAAATTTATACATAACAGTGGAATGCCTTACAATTTTTACCTATATAGAGCTCAATTTTTCATATCTCTGGTTGAATGCATAGTATACTCACACCAACCTATTAGATTGAGAGCTAACCCTTGTAAATTGGCCTGTGACTTTAGAAAGTTTTAGACACTTTATTCTTTCTTCATGGGCTCCTTCCTGTGCAAAGAAGCTTAAAAGTTACATTTTGCTACTGGGCTGGTATGAAGATAAATATAATTTATGACAGAGTGCATTTATTTATTTTTCGTAGGATTTCAAAATAAAACATTTCCATTGGATTTAGGCACTGTGCCTATTCTGTCCAATGGATATACCAAATCTGAAAAAAAAAAAAATTGGCCTCTGAATGAAGCAGAATGTAAAAAAGAACCTCTATAGTTGCATAAAATAGGTCTGATCAGAAAAACACATTAACCTAGGGATGCTGGATCAAAATTATGAGCTCAAAAAATACAGAATTTTAAAAGCTTACCAGGCCTCTGTCCTCTGTAGTCTTGCTCATCAGAGGTGAAAAGAGTTCAAGAAAAGAAATGAGGGCTTGTGGACTCATGGGGGCCCAGAAGTATATATCTTTCTTTCTCTCTSTCTCTCTCTCTCTTTTAAATCTGATTCTAAACTGGTTTGTCTGGTCTCTTGGACAGCAGTCACCAAAATTTTTATCCTGGTATTTTGCAGCTTTATCAGCTGGGCTGTCATGATTGTTGAAAATCCTTTGGGCCTCCTTTAATAGTTGAGAGGTATTCATGACTGCAAATCCTTTATGGTTTTGGAGTTTTTTGTGAATATCTGGGGTTGACTAAGAGACAAAAGCCAAATGTAGGCCTGAGAGTTTTTTCCTAGACAAAATGTTATGGCCGTTAATTATTTATCATGAGAGAGTGAGAAAGAGAGTGACAGAGAAAGACAACGCTGAAATCATTTTTCTCCCTGAGCTGTAACCAGGGAGAAGTTTTCAGATTGGTCCCCTGCTGAGTCTGTCAGCAGTTGTTCACTTTCCAATGTAAGCTTTAGTGAGCTAGGGCTTTTTAACCATTTTTTTCTCAGTTGGTAATCAGGCCAGGTTTGGATTAGGTTTCCCATGACAAGACTAACAATTAAAACAATAGGCAGAAATTCATGAACAAACAAGAAACAGATGTGGATGAACAGAGACAGACATGGACAAACAGACCAATATCCTGTCTTCCATTCCCCAGACACCAGACTGTCACCATGGTCTATTTACTGGTTCTCTGGATTTAGATAAGAGACAGAGCCATGGATAAGACACTCTTTCCTCCAATACCCAGATGTCAGACCATGAAGATCACAGTCTGTTTATCGGCCCTCTGGGTCACAGCCCTGGATCTCCTCATACACCCTTCGAAACACAAAAGGAGAGAACAGATGAGGTACCTCCAAACACATGCAGTTGCACATCCTCCCTCATGGGCAAGCTCAAATCGGTCACTACAGAAAGCCTAGACCCTCAGAAGACCAAGAGATCCCACAACGAGAAAGGAGGGCGCCTCTAAATCCCTGTGTGCCTGGAAGCCATAACCCTGACTAAATGTTGTGGTATGTTTGAAATAAATCACAGAGTCAGTCTTGAAGCAGGACATGGGACTTTATTCGCTTGCAGGCCAAGGGACAGTACCCAAGTCGACTTTGCTCCCCTTGACCCCTTGCACAAGGCAGGGTATCTTCTTTATAGCCCAAACCTAGAAGCTACCAGTAAGTCAACATCATAGCAGCCTAGGAAGCAGGTCTGAATGATCCAGTTCAGGGTATAGTACACTGCCCAAGAAAAAATGGGAACAAAAAAAGAACATATTAGAAATGCATTTCTTAATAATACATAAAAATTTTTTTAACTGCCATACATTGTTATGTGTGTGCTCAGCAGGAGGTGGCAGAGGCAGTGTTTTCTCATGGGAGAAGCATTTCTTATATTAAGTGGAGTCTTGGGGTAAAATGGATTTTGTCTGGTCAAGGCACATATAATTTGGCCCATAACACCTGTAATCCCAGCAGCTCAGGAAGCTGAGGCAGGAGGATCACAAGTTCAAAGCCAGCCTCAACAACTTAGGCCCTAAGCAACTCAGCAAGACCCTGTTTCTAAATAAAATATAAAGAAGGGCTAGAGATGTGGCTCAGTGGTTAAGTGCCCCTGGGTTCAATCCCTTGTTAAAAAAAAAAGAGTTCAAGGAGATAGTTTCAGATTCCACATTGCAACCAAACTAATCTTTTAGATAAAACCAACACTTATTGAGGTTTGGTTTAGTATCAAAAAGAAGAGTATCATTGATTTGAAAAGACTGAAATACTCCTTCCTTTTTCTGTACATATGTGTGTTAGGCTGGATCTTCTTCATGGAAAACTTACCTTAGAATGACATATTGTGTAACAGACTGCAGAATCAGTTGTGAGAATCCAAATGTCTTCTGTTAAACCAGATATTAGAGATTTGCAGAAATGTATAATAATGTCATGCTAATTTGTTTTAGAAATATACATATTTTCATAATATTATGTTAAATGTAATATTAATTATTTTTAGTGAATTTATAAAATTTTAAATTTCTGAATTTTATTTTGAATACATTAAGATCAATACATAAGGTTACATAAACAAAATGCTCTGGGATCTGTGGACCTAAGACCCAGAAGATTGAAAATAATTGGTAGCTAGGTGTGGTGGCGCACACCTGTAATCCCAGCACCTCGGGAGGCTGAGGCAGGAGGAATGTGAGTTCAAAGTCAGCCTCAGCTACAGTGATGTGCTAAGCAAATCAATGAGACCCTATCTCTAAATAAAATACAAAATAGGGCTGAGGACATGGCTCAGTGGTCCAGTGCCCTTGAGTTCAATCTCTGGTAACTGCCCTCCACCCAAAAAAGAGAATAATTGGTATGTAATATATCACCTTTGGTGTTGAAACAAGGTGAAAGTGCTTGTGTGTACATTAAGGAACTCAGGAAAGATATACTATAGAAACAGTGGTAACCTTTCCAGTAGATTGGGAAAATATTTAGAATTTATCAGTGGGGATAGGTAGACTTTACCTTATACCATTTTATATTTTATATTTGTTCCATGTGACTGTTACCTGTTTTTAAAAGCTCTTCTTTGTGGCTTATTGTTAGAAAATTTCAGGGAGGGGGAAAAAAAAAACAGAAATAAAGAAGAAATCCTAGAACCTGCCAGAGAAGGAATAATTCTTTTTTTCTCTTTAGATCTGCTGTGGTACGAAGGTCTAACACCAGCCCCATGGGCTTCCTCCGGTTGGGATCTGGCTCCTCTGCACCAGCAGACACAGCTCAGACAGTTGGACGAAGACTGTCTATTGGGTCTTCTAGGCCTTATTCACCTTCCCCTTTGGGTAAGGAGAGTTTAAAGCAATTGTTTTTTAATCTTTTCTGCTCTGTAACAAATTTGGTATGAAATATTATTTTTAGGGACATTGATTCATCATGGCTGAGCTAATTTGAGGCCATCCCTCCTGCACTACCCTATTCCCAGTTCCTCCTCGAGAATCTCTACATAAATCTGTTAGAATTTATGTTGAAAATATAATAATATMAATTAATTTTACATGTCAAAAGCATCCTCATTGGCTTTGGCATCCAAATACAATGTTAGAAACTCTAGATTAAAGTGCATAAAATGCCTATCTTTCTTATTGCTCAGACACATGAAAATTAACATTGCATCTCTGAGTCACATTCACTACACACCTTCTAGCTCTAATAGGAGTATAGTAGCAGCTTTGTTACATATCTCCCCATTTTGCCTAGAAAATGATTTTGGAAACAGAAAGAACCTTAAACAGAGCAACAAAAGAAACCCTACCAAGCCGAAAACCAAAGAGACCAAATAGTGAAATATAAGAGTCAAAATGCTCAAACTCAGAAAGTGTGAGAACAAAGCCACTGAGGGCAGTATCTGTGAGAAAAACCATGAGGTAGTGGGAAGAACAGGTGGTACAGAGGAGCCCCATCTATAGTTAAAGCTGCTGAAATCTTAGTAGACAGAGCAGGGTTGTAGGTAGTCCCCCAGGAACCCCAAGATGATGATGATGATGATGATGATGATGATGATGATGAGTGTGTGTGTGTGTGTGTGTGTGTGTGTGTATGTGTAATGTTTAAATTGCTTTATCACTTGTTGCAATGATTTCAGCTGAAAAATCTTTAAACAAAATCTTGGCACTCCAGGGTCTCCAAAGACAAAGATTATCCTTGCATGTCAGTGAAAAGGTCCTTAGTATCTAATCTCTGCTTATTGCTTTATCACCTGGACATTGCTCCTTCTTGTTATAGATATGTCTCTTGTCTATTTACATTCCCTGGTACTGTCCCTGATTCTCTCTCTGTGTCAGTTTGGGTTTTCAGGAAGGTGGATGCAAAGAAGGTATTAGGTATGTAAGAGGCTGAGGGAAGTAGGGAGCCAGGGAGGGTCCTCAGACCAAGATTCAGGTCTGACACCTGGGAAAGGAGGGTAATAAGGGAGACAATAAGGCAAGAAAAGTCTGAGACTATAGCACAGGTCTAAGAAAGGTTTAACCATACTATGGGAGTAGTCCTAAGCACTGGTCTGTTAGAGGAATTCTATGACCCACGCTCAACATGCCTGAATCAGTTGTTGACCCCTTGGGGAAGCCTGGCTTCAGACAAATGTGAATCCATAGGGACAGCTGCTAGGCTGTCATCTGTGTCCTGCAGCTCCGCAATCCCCAAGCACTTTGTATAAACTCTTACATGTCTATATAGACATTTATTTATTTATTTAGACTTTTTTTCCTAATGATTTTGTTTCAAGGATGGATGTATATGGTACTTTTTATCTTAGCTTACCTACTGCCTAGCATATTGGTTATTCAGTAAGTACTGGTTCAACTAAATTTTTAATAATTACATTTTTACAAATTATGTACCAAGCAATTTTTGCATGCATTGCCTGTTTCCATTCTTAATTAGTTTTTTTGAATAATTTATTCTTCTTTTCTCCATGTCTTACTTCATAGTTGGTACCATTCCTGAGCAGTTTAGTCAGTGCTGTTGTGGACATTCTCAGGGCCATGAATCCAGAAGTAGAAACTCTTCAGGTAGGAAAATACATTTGGTATATTAGAAATTTGAATTTTATTATGAATGGACTTATTTTGTATTTCTAGCCTTATCAAAAGGACAGCATTGGTAAGAAATATTTCCAATGCTATCCTGATTTTTAGAATCTTGAGCGCTTGCCTAGCACAGGGTTTGATCCTCAGCACCACATAAAAAATAAATAAAATAAAGCCATAAAAACATATATATTAAAAAAATAAAGAAAATAATTTAAGGAATTAGACAATTAGATAAATTTTGGTCATTGTTACACAGATGATAATTTAGAAAGTGAAATTTTATTATGGAATTTACTGGTAAATAGTTGGAACTGGAGACTATCATGCTAAATGAAATAAACTAGATTCAGAAAATTAAAGGGTGAATTTTTTTTTTCTGATATGTGGAAGTTAATCCAAAAAAAAGGGGGGAAATTAAAAGATGGGAGGTGGGAATTCCATCAAAACAGAAGATCATGGAGTTTAGGAAGGGGATTGAAAGGGAGGGAGAGGGATGGGATAAAGGAAGGACAGTGGAATGAATCTGACCTAACTTTCCTATGTACAAATATGAATATACCACAGTGAATCTCATGTGAATCCACAAGACACTAATTAAAAAAATAATAATAGCAGAAAGATCAATAGAATAGAGGGAAGGAAACAGGTTAGGAAGGAGAGGAAGGAAAAAGGAAGCACTGGAGACTGAATTAGAGCAAATTAAATTCTGTATTTAAAATTATGTTAAAATGAATCATTATAGATAACTAAAAAGAACCAATAACCAGGTGCTGTGACATATGCCTGTGATCCCAGAGGCTCAGAAGGCAGAAGGATTTCGAGTTCAAAGCCAGTTTCAGCAACTTAGCAAGGCACTAAGCAACTCAGTGAGACCCTGTCTCTAAAGAAAATACAAAATAGGGCTGGGGATGTGGCTTGAGGTTGAATGCCCCTGAGTTCAATCCCCAGTACCAAAAAAACAAAACAGAACAAACAAAACAAACAAAAAAAAAACAAGAACAGAAATCCAGTGTTGCCTTTTGTTGTTTTCATTAACTTTAACTATTTACTACATAATCCTTTTAGACCTTGCATTAATCTGAATTGTTAGCTCTTGATAAAAATAGCTCATATATTCATCATCAATATATTTCATCTTGTGCCCGTCATGTATCTCCGAGATAGAGCACTTGCCTAGTACGTGTGAGACACTGGGTTTGATCTTCAGCACCACATAAAAATAAATAAATAAAAGTATTGTGTCCCATTTACAACTAAAAATACTTTAAAAAGAATAAGACATTCATCAGAATTCTCATTTTAAAACTTGCCCTCTTGTTTCCTAAATTTTTGCTGTATACTTCACTATTGGTTCACCTTTTCATTCATTTTCTTGGTAGGTTCTCCAGTACCACAGGCTCAGTCACCACAGTCTCTCTTATTGGGTGCTAGACTGCAGAGCGCCCCTACCCTTACTGACATCTATCAGAACAAACAGAAGCTAAGAAAACAGCACTCTGACCCTGTGTGCCCATCCCATACTGGGGCTGGATACAACTACTCACCTCAGCCCAGTCGGCCTGGCAGCCTTGGAACATCTCCCACCAAGCATATGGGATCTTCTCCACGGAGTTCTGATTGGTTCTTTAAAACTCCTTTACCAACAATCATTGGTTCTCCTACTAAGGTGTGTTCCTTAAATCTTTTTGTAGATCATGAACTGCTTTAGTACTTTATGGAAAGAATACAAGATAACCATAATTTTAATGAGCACTTACTTACTATGCATCAGGCACCGTGTAAATATTTGTTGAATGCTTTATGTGCATGATCTCATTAATCTTCAGAAAAGGAAATTGAGATTTAGAGAGCTTAAATAACTGTCCAAGATCACACAGGCTGTAAATGGAAGAGCCAATGTTTGAATCCAGTCTGACTAACTTCAAAGCCTGCCAAAATTTATACATCATATTAACTAGTTTACATATGTTTGTTTAGACCACAGCTCCTTTCAAAATCCCTAAAACACAAGCGTCTTCCAACCTGTTAGCCTTGGTTACTCGTCATGGGCCTGCTGAAGGGCAGTCCAAAGATGGGAATGACCCACGGGAATGTTCCCATTGCCTTTTGGTACAAGGAAGTGAGAGGCATCGATTTGAACAACAGAACAAAGCAGTGTTTGGCAGGTAAGATATTGTTTCTTCTCTAATCTTAAAAATGAAAACTGAAATAGCAAAATAAGTACATTTTTGTTATAAAAGCAACCAGACTACATTAGTAGCCAGCATAAGCTATATGATTGTTAATGCACATGGTGTACTTCAGAGGGTCCGAAAACTTACTATAACTGAGTGAATAAAGAGCTTTTCCCTGAATTTGAACATTTTATTTCTGTCTTTTATTTTATTTATTTATTTTTTACTTATAGTTGGACACAATATCTTTGCTTCATTCATCTATTTTTATGTGGTGCTGAGGATTGAACCTAGGGCCTCACATGCACTAGGCGAGCGCTTTGCCGCTGAGCCACAACCCCAGCCCCTGTCTTTTATTTTTGTTACGGAAGTTTATCTTTACCTTGAATTGTTTGGCATCTATTTTTCGTTTCCTTGCTTTCTAATGTTCTATTAACCCTTCTATTTTTAAAAAGTGAATTTCCCATTAATAGCATCACTGTTCTTTTTAGATCTGTCAGTACTGGGAAGTTATCAGATCAACAAGTAAAGGCGTCTTTAGGTGGACACCAGGGCAGCACTGATAGTTTAAATACAGAACGGCCTATGGATATAGGTAAGAAAAATCTAGTTTCTTTTTAGGCAGGTAATTTGTAAGTATATGCATTAGTTTCTTATTACTCTTGTGATAAATCATCACAAACTGGTGGCTTAAAACAACTCAGATGTATAATCTTAAAGTATTGGCAGTCATTTCTCATATCTATGATGACAGAGGCTTATTTGGTATCTTGATGATCAGCAGCCTTTGAATTGGAAGAAATTCCTTCCAAGAATGTTTTTTATTAGTAAGATTTTATAGGCCAAAGTTAGCTTAAAAACACAGATACTCGTGAGCATTTGACAACAACTTGAATCCTATAAAGGTCTGATTACTGAGATCTCTAAACCTTTCATAGTTGTTTTAGGGACTGTTACGTCCATAGACACTCACATCTAGATTTTGTGAACTATTTATCACAAACAAAAACAAAAACAAAATGGATGTTCCAGACCCTAACCTAGACTTGCTTAATCAAGTTTTCTGCGGATGGATTCTGGGAATCCCTAGGTAATTATTATGTATATTAAAATTTGGAGTCTATTGTAACCTCTTTGTTCTTATTTTCTCTGATTTTTAAATTGACTCACTTCTGAATATCTAAAGGACAAAGTACCTGGGCCAACAAAATATCTGATTGAATGTGGTTTCTAATCCAAAGGGATATTTCACAGTGCTCTCTTCTTGTCTGCAAGGTTTTTGAAGAGAAGGCCGGTGTAATTCTTATGATGGTTGTTTGCATGGTGTCATTCCCCGCCCCCTTTTTTTTTTCACTTTCAGCCTTGCTGTATCATTGACACTAAAGTATGTCCTCTGTAAACACAGAGTTGGGTCTCCTTAATCTGACAATCTCCACCTATTGTTTAGATTATTTAATTTGTTTACATGTTAGTATCATCGACACAGTTGTTTTTACCTATACATTTTACTTTTTGGATTTTTTTCTTAGTTTTTGGTACTGGGGCTTGAGCACAGGGGTGCTTAACCACTGAGTCACATCCTCAGCTCCTTTTAATTTTTTATCTTATGACCAGGTCTTGCTAAATTGTTTAGGGCTTCACTAAGTTGCTGATCTTTGTGATCTTCCTACCTCAGCCTCCCAAGTTGCTGGGATTATAGGTGTACATCACCACGCCTGGCTTGTTTTCTTATTCTTTTTGTTTTTCCTTTTGCATTAAGTGAATATTTTCTAGTTTCATATTTTGGTCCCCTTAATGATGTTTTCCACTTCTATCTTCCTTTCTTCCTTCCTTTTAGGATTGAATCCAGGGATGCTTTACTACTAAGCTCCATCCCCAGCCCTTTATTTAAAATGACAGAGTGGCCAGGCATGGTGATGCACGTCTGTAATCCCAGCAGCCCGGGAGGCTGAGGCAGGCGCATCTCAAGTTGAAAGCCAACCTCAGCAAGTGAGGCACCAAGCAACTCATTAAGACCCTGTCTCTAAATAAAATCCAAAATAGGTCTGGGGATGTGGCTCAGTGGTCCAATGCTCCTGAGTTCAATCCCTGTACTGCCCCCCCCCCCCAAAAAAAATTTGTAGATGGACATAGTATCTTTATTTATTTTTATGTGGGGATGAGGATTGAACCCAGTGCCTCCTCACACATGCTTTGTAAGTGCTCTCCACTGAGTCCCATCTCCAACCCTTTTTATTTTTTATTTTGAGTCAAGATCTTGCTAAATTGCTGAGGCTGGACTTGAATTTGCTGTCCTCCTGCCTCAGCCTCCTGAGACACTGGGATTACAGGCATGTGCCACTGTGCCTGATTTAGTTCTTTTCTTCCTAGTTGTTTTTGGGCTTATAATAATCATGGTAAGTTATCTTAAGATTTATTTTAAGTTGACTTAAGATTTATACTAATTGGATTCCAGTGAAACAGAAACATTACTCCTAAATAATTCTTCCCTCTTTAAGTACTATATTTTTGCTTTCTTTTTTTAATGCTATTGTTGTTGTTATAGAAACTCAGTGATACATTATTATATAATTACTTTGTATGTTATGTCTTTTAAAGAAGCTGAGGTAGGAAAAGAAAACATGTTTTTCTTTATAGTTATCTTACCTTCTTATTTACCATTTCTTGTTCTCTCCATTTGTTTTTATGGATTTGAGTTGTCATCTGGTGTCACTTTTTTACTGCAAGAAATTTCTGCTCCCATCTGCCTCCTATATTCCATTTCTATTTAGGTCCAACAATGCAATTATATATATATCTTGTTTTATACAGTTGCTTTTTAAATCATGTAAGGGAATAAAGGAGAAAATGATGCAGTTATAATGTTTTATAATTATATATTTACCTTTTATCTGTGTTCTTTTGTTTCTCTTCACTCAGATAAAATTACTTTCTGGGGTCATTTATTTTAGACTTGAAGAACTTTCATTGGTTTTTCTTGTTAGAATAACAGGTCTGCTAGCAATAAATTCTCTCAGCTTTTGTTTAGACATTTTGGGATATCTTTTTGGTTTCACTTTTGAAAGAGTTTTGATTCATAAAAGATTCCCAGTCAGTCATGGTAATGCATATCTGTAATTCTAGCAACTCAGGAGGATCTCAAGTTTGAGGCTAGATTCTGCAATTTAATAAGAGCCCTGTGTTCAATCCCCACTACTGGAGGAAAAGAAGATTCATGGTTGATAGCTTTTTGTTTCAATAGTTTAAATATGCCATCCCACTGCCTTCTGGCTTCCATAGTTTCTGCTCATAAGTTATCTGTTACTCTTATTTGATTTCTTTTTTGCAAATTATTTTTTTCTTTCTATTCTCAAGGTTTGTGTCTTTCACTGGTTACTCTGATGATTTTGGGTATTTGCCTTTATTCTCCTTGGGAATTCTTGAGCTTTTTTTGATATGTAGATTAGTGTTTTTATCAAATTTTTAAAGTATTTAGCCATTCTTTATTTGGATATTTTTTTCTATTCCTGTTTCTTCTTAAATCCTCATTATTTTTATATTGGTATACTCAATTGTGTCTCATGTTTCTCCAAGGTTCTGTTCACTGTAGAGTTGGCCCTTGATCAACATAGTTTTGAACTATCTGGGTCCATTTATACACATACACACAAAATTTTTTTTTGAGATTTACAACAGTTTGATTAAAAACTTAAAAGACAAATCATGTAGCCTAAAAATATTGAAAAAATTAAATCAGGTGTCATGAATGCATAAAATACATGTATATAAAAGTTTATTTTATCATTTATCACCATAAAATATACACAATCTATTTTGAAAAGTTAAAACTGATCAAAGATACTGAAAAAATGTACAAGGCTGCCTTTACTATTGAGAGAAATATAAACAAACATAAAAATGCAGTATTAAATCATAACAGCATAAAGTTAACTATAGCATATATGGTACTACTTTAATAATTTCATAGCTACTTCTTGATACTATTGCAGTGAGTTTAACTATTATGAATATCTGCTTAAATTACTGTGTTGCTGTAATCATCTTCACCTGAGCAGTTTGTCTCTCCAGTGAATTGCATATTGCAGTGCCAAGAACATACAGTGAAGAAAGGATAGCCTGTTCAATAAATGGTATTTGGAAAACTAGATATACAAGCTAAGAGCAGTGGTACACACCTGTGATCCCCGAGATTTGGAAGGCAGAAGCAGGAAGATTGTAAGTTCAAGGACTGCTTCAACTACTTAGTGAGACCCTATTCAAAATAACAACAACAACAAAAAGATTAGGGATATGATTCAGTGATAAAGCACCTCTAGATTAAAAAATATAGTGCCAACAGAAGAAGAAAAAAAAGGAATATATATATATATATATATATATATATATATATGCAGAAGAATGAAACTAGACTCCTACCTCTCACCATATACAACATATCAACTCATGTCAGTTGTGTTGGATCACAAGATTGAGGCCAATCTAGGCAATTTAGAGAAACTCTGTCTCAAAATAATTAAAAGGCTAGGAGTGTGTAGCTTGGTGCTAAAGCATTTGCCTTGCATGCATAAGGCCCTGTGTGGAATCCCTAGTAGCACACACAGCACACAAGATCAACTCAAAATGGATCAAGGGCCTAAACAAGTAAGAACTAAAACTAGCATAAGAAAATAGACAATTTAAAACATTGTTATAGGCAATTTTTTTTTTTTTTGGATAAGAACCTAAAAATATCGATGGGGTTGTGGCTCAGTGGTAGAGCACTCGCCTAGCACATGTGAGACCCTGGGTTCCATCCTTAGCACCACATAAAAATTAATAAAATAAAGGTGTTGTGTCTAACTACAAGAAAAAAATACATTAAAAAAAAGAACCCCCAAAACACAGGCAGCAAGAGCAATGAGATTACTATCAAATTAAGAAACCCTTCACAGCAAAGGAAACAATAGTAATACCTAGTTCTCTACAGAGTGGGAGAAAATATTTGCAAACTATTTATCTGGCAAGGAGTTACTACTCAGAATAATATGAACTCAAACAATTCAATAGCAAAAGACCCTAAATAATCCAATTTTTTAAATAGGGCAAATTTTTGAATAAAAAATTCTCAAAAGAGAGCTAAACTGCTCAAAATCACTAATCATAAAGGAAATGGAAACCAAAACTACAGTGAGGTAACATCTCACCCAGATAGAATAACTGTTATCAAAAGACAAGTAGTAACAAATGCTGCTGGACTCAGTGGCCCATGTCTCTGATCTAGTGACTGCAGTGACCGAGGCAGGAGGATTGCAAGTTTGAGGACACCTGGGTAACTTAGCAAGATCTTGTCTCAGAATGAAAACAATTATTAAAAAAAGGATTTGAGCCAGGCAGAGTGGTGCATACCCGTAATCCCAGCAGTTTAGGAGCCTGAGGTGGGAGGATCATGAATTCAAAGCCAGCCTCAGCAACTTAGCGGGGCCCTAAATAACTCAGTGAGACCCAGTCTCTAAATTAAAATATATATGTGTGTGTGTGTGTGTGTGTGTATGTATGTATGTATATATATGTGTGTGTGTGTGTATGTATGGTTGGAGATGTTGCTCAGTGTTTGAG